ATACTCGATTCCGAGTGACAGCAAAGTAGTAGTAGTAGTGTGTGTGTGTGTGTGTGTGTATCTTGCTTTATGTACTATATATCTCGCTCTGTACTTTTTATTGGTATTGTTTCCTTGTTTATAAATTTTCAGAATTCTTCATAAACTGTATCATTATGTATTCTATGTAGTGTGTATTCTCTGTATTATGTATCAGTCTGTGTATGTATCAGTCTATGTATGTACCAGTATGTGTATATGCCAGTCTGTGGATGTACTAGTATGTGTATGTACCAGTCTGTGTATGTACCAGTCTGTGTATGTACCAGTCTGTATACTGTACCAGTTGTGTATGCACCAGTCTGTGTACATCAGTCTGTGTATGTACCAGTCTGTGTATGTACCAGTCTGTATGTATCAGTCTGTGTATGTACCAGTCTGTGTATGTGTCAGTCTGTAAAAATGTCTGTGTATAAAACAGTCTGTAAAGGTACCAGTCTGTGTATGTATCAGTCTGTGTATGTCTGTCTGTGTATGTATCAGTCTGTGTATGTATCAGTCTATGTATGTACCAGTATGTGTATATGCCAGTCTGTGGATGTACTAGTATGTGTATGTACCAGTCTGTGTATGTACCAGTCTGTGTATGTACCAGTCTGTATACTGTATGTACCAGCTTGGTCAGGTCAGGTAAAGTATGGTCTTATACGAAGAATTTAATAAGCTGGTGTAAATGGCAACCTCACCGAGTGTTGCCGTATGCGGGTTATGTTCTTGTACAGTATATTGATAAATTTGACTCTTGTTCTTTGATATATTTTATACTTTATTTGAATTATTGTCAATGAAGTTAGTCTGTCAGTCACTTCATTTATCACGTCACCAGCTGTTGTCTTTTGTTAATGTAAAATGGTGGAGGTTGTTCTTATGGTAACCGTGTGTAGTGTTGCCGACTTGAGGTGCAGTTTGTGTTGATTCCCAAGTAAATGTATCAATTTATTCACCTTTACTGTCATATTCTCGTCTGTTTATCAGTTCATCTTATAGGTCATCGAGTTAATGTTTTTATTAATCAGTTTGAAAGTAACAAAAAGAAATAATGTTTGTTGACTAATGTTGACGTGAGGTGCAGTCGACAGTTTATTTATTTTTGTCCATTAATTCCTCTATCTGTTTACCAACCTTTTGCATATATTTATCAACTAAAAGATCTATCCCTTGTTAGACCATCCATCCATCCATCCATCCATCCCCTAAACTTGTGCATCTGTTTATTAAATTAATATGATGTGTGTTTGGCACCTGTGGCCGGTGTTGCCGTCTGGGTGTGCAGCCAAACTCAGTGTTGTTTACTGTTTCAGGCCAGGCATGGATGGCGCCTCTCAAAGGTAACATGGCTGCTCCTGACGAGGGGAAATACCTGGCCCTCTTACACCATTATTATTTTTTATATAGCAGCACACGCCACACTTCCTCCTTCTCACTCTGTCTTCCTCACAACTCCTTACTGGGGGAAATAATCTTCCTCGCTCAGCTCCCGCCACTAACACCCACGCCCACTGCCGCCATCTTGACAGTGCTCAGCGGGCGTCGGGGTCTCTTAAGGGTTTGTGGTTACGTTCCTTAAGCCACAGTCTGGAAGGTTAATTATATTCCGTTTTGGTTAATACGGTGAGCAGCGGGGACCCCCAGTAAGTTTTTCGGGGCCACCTGAGTGACGTTAATCACCTCATTAATAGCCACTAGCAGTACATTAACGTGACGTCGCCCAGGTGGTCCTCGGTACACCGTCTTGAAGCACTGCAGCAAGTCATTCCTTCGGCGTTAATTCCTCTTAATGGCTTTTATAGATCATTTATTTTACTCTTAGTTAATTTTCATCATAAATTATCAATTAAGTGTAGGACTGAGCGCTTGTTTTGTTATTATTTTGGCTGAGGCGCCGCGGCCACCCTTAAGGCACGACACTGCTGCACTGCTGGTCCTGTGTACACCTTGGGCTGTCATCACCTACAGTATATTAATTTACAGACGCAGACTGGCAGAGCTACAGCTGTTGATAATACGTCCTGTAGCTGTAATAATAATAATAATAATAATAATAACATGGTAGCTGTGAGAGGTAGAGGCATACGTCAACATTACACTGGGATTAAATTTTGATGAAGAAATTAGTTCCGGGTTAACAGAGGTTCACCATTAATATTTTTCTCACTTTAACTCTGAGGGACAAAAAAACACAGCTAATCAAGTCTCGGGCCATTTTCACCGCCATCTTTGTATCATAAATTAAATGATTAATAATTTTTCATTCTACTTTGCTGTTAAAAAAAATGACGTAGTGTTATGAGAAAGTAATTAATGAAATACAATGATAAGGTAAAAATTGAGACAGTTAATCGCATTCTTTTTGTCTTCAGTGAAAAAAATACGAAGAATCTCTGAGAATTCCTTAGCTTAAAACACATTAAAATTCTTCACCATTTATGGGTAATTAATTAGTAGTTATTAAGGATAATACAACGTTAATTCTTAGCATTTAACTCGTAGAATTTACCACTGAATAAATACCAGGTAATTTTAATAGCTAACCTATACACCTGGATACATAGTAATTATTTAGAAATACAGTAATGACTCTTGAGAATAACAAGTCGGTACAGTAGATTAATTCTGTAACACGGATTTAATCTCTTCTAAATTACTATCTTTATGTAGACGGGTTGCGAAAGAGAGAGTTACTTAACACTGTAGAAATATAACACTAAAGAAATATTAATAGCTCACGTTAATTAAGGGAAGGTGTTGTAGGTGAAGGGTAAATGATACTGGTTTAATTTGATTTATTTTTCAGGTAAGGATGTGTTAAACCCGTGTGTGTGTGGGTTTATAGAGGGTGGGGTGGTTTAATGTGATGGTTTATATGTGGTCATTTGATGGTGGTATGTTGGTTTATGGTTTAAGGACTGGGGGTGTTAGTAAACCTTTATGAAGATGATGGTTTAACCCCTTTAGGATGGTGGTTTAACTTCTTGAGGATGGTGGTTTAACCCCTTGAGGATGACGGTTTAACCCCTTGAAGGTGGTGGTTTAACTCCTTGAGGATGTTGGTTTAACCCCTTGAAGATGGTAGTTTAACCCTTGAGGATGGTGGTTTAACTCCTTGAGGATGGTTTAACCCCTTGAAGATGGTAGTTTAACCCTTGAGGATGGTGGTTTAACTCCTTGAGGATGGTTTATCCCCTTGAAGATGGTATTTAACCCTTGAGGATGGTGGTTTAACCCCTTGAGGATGATGGTTTAACCCCTTGAGATGGTGGTTTAATCCTTTTGTCGTTTAACCCCTTGAGGATGATGGTTTAACCCCTTGAGGATGATGGTTTAACCCCTTGAAGGATGATGGTTTAACCCCTTGAGGATGATGGTTTAACCCGTTGATGGTTTAATCCCCATGAGTTGATGGTTTAACGCCAGGGGACGATGGTTTAACCCCTTGAAGACAATGGTTTATCCCCTTGAAGATGGTATGTTAACCCCTTGAGGATGGTGGTTTAACCCCTTGAGGATGATGGTTTAACCCCTTGAGGATGGTGGTTTAACTCCTTGATGATGTTGGTTTAACCCCTTGAGGATGATGGTTTAACCCCTTGAGGATGATGGTTTAACCCCTTGAGGATGATGGTTTAACCCCTTGAGGATGATGGTTTAACCCGTTAAGGACGATGGTTTAACCTCTTGACGATGGTTTAACCCCTTGAGGACGAGGTTTTAGACATACTGTTCAAGTCAAGACGTTAAAATCATCGTACTCAAGGGGTTAAAACAGCACTCAAAGGGTAAAAATTATCGTACTCAGTGTTAGGGCAGTACTCAAGGGTTTAAACAGTACTCAGGGGGTTAAAACAGTACTCAGGGAGTTAAAACCTCTCTAAAGGGTTTAAACAGCACTCAAGGGGTTACGACAGTTCTCAGGGGGTAAAAATGATCGTACTCAGTGTTAGTACAGTACTCAAGGTGTTAAAACAGCACTCAAGAGGTTAAAACAGTATTGCGGGTTAAAACAGTACTCAAGAAGTTAAAAGAGTACTCAATGGGTTAAAACAGTACTCACGGGGTTAAAACAGTACTCAAGGAGTTAAAACAATACTCAAGGAGTTAAAACAGTACTCAGGGGGTTAAGAACAGTACTCAAGGGATTAAAACAGTACTCAGGGGGTTAAAACAGTACTCAGGGGGTTAAGAACAGTACTCAAGGGATTAAAACAGTACTCAGAGGGTAAATAATACCATTTCATAACCAGTTCACATCATACCAACATTAACCTCAATGTCAACTACCACACAAACTGTCTTCAACACCTCAGAATTTTAACCACTAAGTTAACACAATCTTACCTGGAAAATTAAATGTAAAATATTCATAGGTCCGCCATTTTAACAATATCTTCCCTTAACTTTATTGTTTTTTTTTTTCAATTTTTTTCTCGAAATTTTTGGCCCAGTTTTTAGATAAAATTTATATGGCAATTTTTGAATAATTTTGATTGCAGTTTTTGGTCCATTTTTTTTTTTAGATTTTTTTACTTGAAATTTTCCTCTTATTTTGGCTAGATAAGATTTAAAAAATTTCCAATGGTAATTTTTGGATTTTATCAACAGAGATTAATTTCATTGCTTGTTTGTTTATTTTCATTTTACTCAAAGTATTATGGTATATTTTTGCTTAGTGTAAAAAAAAAGTTATTTACATAATCAAATTGCATGGACCATTACATAAAAAAAATTCCCCCTCTCCCTTTCCCTCCCACCTCTCCCTTTCCCTCCCACAATGAGAAAAAACCCCGATATATATATATAAGAAAAAACAAACCATTTTCAGTGTTTTGACAAATTACCCATTTTTTATGACGAAAAAGGGAAAAAACCACTACCAACTACCCCGTTTTCTTTGTCATGGAACACTGAAGAAATCCACCACTTCACCTTTTTCTAATCTCTCTCTCTCTCCTTCGTCGCCACAGGCCAGATACACTCCCAGAGTCTGACGGCGAGGAATGAGTATGCTATGACGTGGGAGGGCTCCGCTGGTGACGATGATCAGTACCTCGGATACTCGGTGGCCGTCGGCGACTTCTCAGGAGATGGTCAACAGGACGTGGCTCTCGGTGTTCCCAAGGGGCTTAACTATACCGGCAAGGTGAGGTGATGGTGGTGATGGTGGTAGGTGGTGATGGTGGTAGGTGGTGGTGGTGATAGTGGTAGGTGGTGATGGGGAGGTGGTGGTGGTGATAGTGGTAGGTGGTGATGGGGAGGTGGTGGTGGTGATATTGGTGAGTGATGGGAGATGGTGATGGGGAGGTGGTGGTGATGGTGGTAGGTGGTGATGGGAGGTGGTGGTGGTGATGGTGGTAGGTGGTGATGGGAGGTGGTGGTGAGTGCGGGTGATGGTGGTGGGTGGTGATGGGAGGTGGTGGATGTATGTGATTGTAAGTGTGATGGGGATGTGGTAGTAGTGATAGGTGGGTAAGAGGTGGTGTTGTGTTGGGTGGTTGTAGGTGATGGTGGTAGTATTAGTGGTAGTGATGATGGTAGTAATAGTACAGTAGTAGTAGATGTTGGTGGTGTAATGGTGCTTGAAGTACTGTATATTATTATTGAAGATGAAATGGCAGACTGATTAGTACAGAGGGTTTTGATAGGTTAGGTTAGGTTTGTTTTGGTTGTTAGGTTAGGTTGTGGTTAGGTTAGGTTAGGTTAGGTTAAATAGGTTGTTACAATCAGATTAATGATAACGATAGGACCTCGGGTTATTAACATACACCAAAGTAAGTTAACAAATTTAACACATAAACTTGTTAAAAATGTCTTAAATACAGGTATAGAAATTACAGACTTGTTAAGGTAAATGTTAACGTAGTGGATTATTAGGTTAAATTAGGTAAGCGTTAGCTTCAAGGTAAGAGGCAAGGGCAAGGCAAAAGGGTAAGGTAAGGTATGTAAGGTGGAGGAGGTAAGGCAGCAAGGCAAGGCAAGGCAAGGTAAGGTAAGGTATGTAAGGTGAGGTGAGGTAAGTAAGGTATGTAAGGTAAGATAAGGTAAGGTAAGGTATGTAAGGTAAGGTAAGGTAAGGTAGTAAGGTATGAGGTAAGGCAAGGTAAGGTAAGGTAAGATGAGTCTTGATGTACAGTAATCATTAAGGCAAGGCAAGGTGTAAGGTAAGGTGAGGTGGAGGTAAGGTAAGTATGGTAAAGATAAGTAAGGTAAGGCAAGGTAAGGTAAGGTACAAGGTAAGTAAGGTAAGGTAAGGTGAGGTGGAGGTAAGGTAAGGTAAGGTAAGGTAAGATAAGGTAAGGGCAAGGCAAGGCAAGGCAAGGTAAGGTAGGTAAGTGTAAGGTGAGGTAAGGTAAGAGCAAGGCAGGCAAGGTAAGGTAAGGTAAAGAGGTGGAGGTGTAAGGTAAGTATGTAAGATAAGGTAAGGTAAGGCAAGGTAAGGTAATAAGATGATGATGTACAGTAATCATTAAGGCAAGGTACAAGGTAAGTAAGTAAGGTTAGGTAAGTAAGCGGCAAGGCGCAAGGTAAAAGGTAAGGCAAGGGATATATTATATTGTACTTAAATTAGTTAGGTAAGAATGATAAGTGATAAGTGAATTTATAAGCAATGGAAATACTTCAATTACACCTGAACTAATTCATGCTAATTAATTGGTTTGTTTTATCCCACACCTGTATCTTATTTGCATGTCACTCCACCTAGAATTTACTTATGACAAATAAATTATTTAAAAAAAGTATTATTTTCGTTCCAATATTTCTTCATTAAAAATAAATTACACCGATTAATTGTTCATGTAAGTATTTTTAAGTTCATGTGAGTATTATTAAATTCATGTAAGTATTTTTAAGTTCATGTGAAGTTATTAAATTCATGTAAGTCTTTTTAAGTTCATGTAAGTATTTTAAGTTCATGTAAGTATTTTTAAGTTCATGAGTATTTTTAAGTCTATGTAAGTATTTTTAAGTTCATGGAGTATTATTAAGTCTATGTAAGTATTTTTAAGTTCATGTGAGTATTAAATTCATGTAAGTCTTTAAGTTCATGTAAGTATTTTTAAGTTCATGTAAGTTTTTTAAGTTCATGGAGTATTTTTTTTAAGTATTTTTATTCTGTGAGTATTAAGTTCATGTAAGTATTTTTAAGTTCATGTGAGTATTATTAAATTCATGTAAGTCTTTTTAAGTTCATGTAAGTATTTTTAAGTTCATGTAAGTATTTTTAAGTTCATGTAAGTATTTTTAAGTTCATGTAAGTATTTTTAAGTTCATGTGAGTATTTTTAAGTTCATGTAAGTATTTTTAAGTTCATGTGAGTATTATTAAGTGCATGTAAGTATTTTTAAGTTCATGTGAGTACACTTAACTACATAAAAGTAACGAGAAGAACATGAAATTATTCTTAAGTAAATAAACAGTAAGCAAACCAAGAACATATAAGTACCCATAAGTATAGGTATATTTTATAAGTATCAGCACCACCATCTAAGTATTATAAAGTAAGCCTCATTTTACTTACATCACTTAAGAGAAGAAACTTAAACTTAGGCTCCTTTAAGCATAGTGAGAGGCGTCCCCAGGTGGTGTAATTAAGTAATAAAGGTGCATAAATACCATATCATTAGTGTATGCTTGTTAAGGTACCCCCCCCCTCTCACCTGTACTTACAATTCACTTAACGTTGGCAGGTAGACATTACTTAACTTTAATGTCATTTGTAAGTAGTGGACTAATGAAAGTAGTTGGTGTAATGGTGATTATTATTTTTAGTAAGCATGTCTAATGATGTTGTTGTTGTTGTTGTTGTTGTAATCTCTAAACTAATTAACGTACACCTGTTGTTGTTGTTTACCTGTTGTAGTGACATACCTGGAGTGTTTGTTAATTTGTTATGACATTATTATATTTTCATTTACTAAGTTAACAAAACACAAACTGTCAGAGCAAACAGTGGACAACCTCTATTTTTTTTAATAATTTCACTATAGTTTAATAAGTTATCTTTTTTTCCTATTTTAGTTTAGATTATTAATTATTTTTTGTATAATTTGGATTATTTATTCACTTGTATATTTAATTCATCCAAAAAAACATCCATTTTTAACATTCATTAAAACTCATCTTCTGGTTTATTTTTTCTTCGTGTTTTAATAGATTTTATCTTAATTTTCAAAGATAAATAAAAATAAAAAAATATTGATTTTTTGTATTAATTAGATAGGTTCGTGTTTTTAAAAGCATTTAATTGACGTGAGGTGAAGTAAGTCTGTGTTGGCGTAGTGTTGGAACCCTGGTAGGAGAGGTTAAGGTCTGGCCCTCTACCTATTTCCTATCCTTTCCTTTATTATCTATCCTTCACATCTGTTTTTATCCCTCTCCTGGTCTATCCTAATCTTTCCTTTTATCCTTTGCCCTTCCTTTGTTTTGATGTCTATCCTTCGGTTCCTTCCATCCTTAACCCCGACTCTACCCCCCACCCTCGCTTCCTATCAACCCTTTGTTTATTCCTACGTTTATTCTATTTCTCTTTATCTATCCTTAATCCTTATCATACCCCCTCCCCTGCTGTCCTTCCATTCCTCTCCCTATCTTCTCCCTACTTTCTCCTCCCATTCCTGCTGAGTGATACCTGCTTCTGCTGCCTATTGGAAACTTCTGCTTTTGACGGATCTTGGAGTTCGTAGGTTGTCAGGGGTTGTTCCTGCTTCTCAGGGTGTGATTCCAAAGAGTAAATCATCAGGGCTCTAAACTTGCCCCACAAGCCCCAAATACTGTGTCAGAGCTCTAAACTTTGCCTTCAAGCCCCAAATACTGTGTCAGAGTTCTAAACTTTGCCCATAAGCCCCAAATACTGTGTCAGAGCTCTAAACTTTGTCCCAAAGCCCAATGTCAGGGCTTAAACTTGCCCCACAAGCCCCAAATACTGTGTCAGAGCTCTAAACTTTGCCCCACAAGCCCCAGATACTGTGTCAGTTTAAACTTTGCCCCAAAGCCCAAATAATGTGTCAGGGCTTCAAACTTGCCCCAAAATAATGTGTCAGGGCTCTAAACTTTGCCCCACAAGCCCCAAATACTGTGTCAGGGCTCTAAACTTTGCCCCACAAGCCCCAAATAATGTGTCAGGGCTTAAACTTTCCCACAAGCCCCAAAATGTGTCAGAGCTCTAAATTTGCCCCCAAGCCCCAAATAGTCAGGGCTTAAACTTGCCCCACAAGCCCCAAATAATGTGTCAGGCTCTAAACTTGCCCCAAAGCCCCAAATAATGTGTCAGGCTCTAAACTTTGCCCACAAGCCCCAAATAATGTGTCAGAGCTTAAACTGCCCCACAAGCCCAGATACTGTCAGGGTTAAATTTGCCCCATAAGCCCCAAATACTGTGTCAGCTCTAAACTTTGTCCCACAAGCCCAGAAACTTTACTTAGGGTCCCTGAACTCTCCCCCTAAAAAACTCCTTCCCCTCCTCACCTAGATCTACACACACACACACACACACACACACACACACACACACACACACACACACACACACAATTGAGCTCCTGACAAGCATGTTCACTACAGAATGAGGGAATAAAGACTTCCTCGTCGCTCGAATATTGGTGTTGTCAAATCCACACATATACATAATATTTACAAGACTCTATGCCTGAATGCCCCAAGTTAATCATTGTATGCCCACTAATGCCCTCACGGTATGTTCTAGTACCATTGTTTATACTTTATGAAGGTACCAAAGTTGAGGTTATCTCTGTGAAGTGCCAACCATATAGTACCACATCAGTGTATCATTCTCAAGTGAGTGAGGGCATCAATGTACTTACAACTTTTAAGAATATAAGACACTTACAACTTGCATCATGCGTATATCGTGTAGCACTTGAGTATATATTTGTTATCACTGTAATGTATGTGAAGATGATATTCTCAAGTGTATTAAATGTGGAGACTATACAGATAATGCTAGTGGGTGTATTAGCATGTGACCTGTTACTGTGTATAAGAGGTCTTGCACCACGAGGCAGCAGCAGTATTGGAGGAAGTGTATCGTTAACCTGGAGAATATTTAGTTTACAGATAACTATGTTAACGAGATGTATGTCTGTTTTACCAAGAGATGTATGTCTGTTTTACCAAGAGATGTATGTCTGTTTTACCAAGAGATGTATGTCTGTTTTACCAAGAGATGTATGTCTGTTTTACCAAGAGATGTATGTCTGTTTTACCAAGAGATATTTACAATTACCATTAAGACATATTATACATTTCGCTTCTCTGTTTTTGACGACTTATACTGTGTGTGTGTGTGTGTGTGTGTGTGTGTGTGTGTGTGTGTGTGTGTGTGTGTGTGTGTGTGTGTGTGAACAGAGTGACTCCAATAAGCAGCAGAACAGGTTGTCAGAGGTTAACCAGAGTCAGGAAGGTGAAGGCTTGTCAGTTTTAAAGCCATGACCTTGTTGACGATGTAGTACCTTCAGGAGCAGCACCAGCAGGAGGAGGAGAGGCCAGTATGGGAGCAGCCACCCTCAGAAAGGTTCGTGGGTCGGAGAAGTGAGGAGCCTGGGGCCATCCACACCTGGCAGGATTGGTTTGAGGAGACGGGTCTTCTCTTCAGGGAGGAGAAACAAGTAGGGTACTCTGTTTCCACTCTGAGGAAGGAGCCCTCCATGCACCCAATGTACGGCTCCTACTCCATGGGCCTGGGCGAGTTTGACGGTGAACCTGGGGAGGACGTGGCCGTCGGGGTACCCAAGGGTCCCGACTCAGAGGGCGTCCGCACGGGCAAGGTAGAGTGACTCCCCAACCGTCAGCGTCCTGTGCACCTCCAAGTGTCGCTCTGTGTTGTGTTGTTGCCTCTCTGTGTAAACAATTCTCCCCACAGCGCTGTCCGGTATGTTCTCTCTCTAGCTCCTCGCCACCTCCTTCGTCTTCGCCTCCTGCGGTAAGGTCTTGTCGCTGGCATCTTGAGCGAGGCGCCGCAAGGAAAAAAAAATACTCTCGTAGAATCAAGCTATTTTGTGTTGTCATGTTCCTAATCTCTCTACTGTACCTCCTCGCCATCTCTCTCGTCTTCGCCTCCTACGGTAAGGTCTTCACTGGAGGCTGGCGGAATGAAGACTCGCCCTGGCAGTTGTTCGCCGGCACTGCTGCTAACTGGAGGCGTAACCAAATGAAAGATGACGCCCACAGCTCCTCGCCTACAGAGACTTGTTTCATTACTTTGACATTATCGGTGTAGCAGCGTCTTGTGTCTTGTCCGTAGATAAGTGTTGCTTCTGTAAGTCCACAGTTGTTATTTCTTTCTTTCTTTTCTCCTATTTTATCTCTCACAAATTTACTGGATGTTCAGTAGTAGTAGTAGTGGCCATCGATGTTGTAAAAAAAATAATAATGTTGCTTCACTGGCTGACTGGATGTTGTATGTGTAGCACTGTTGGTTGCAAGTGTTTGATTGCAATGTTGACGGGAAGCTTTCAGTGTATATTTTCATTCTTATTTGCAATTATTATTTTGTATTTTATTGCATTTGTCTTATCCGTCATTAATTTGTCTTATCCATATTGTTTTAATCATAATTTTTTTCTTCTTTTTCTTCGTCTTTTATTATAGTAATTATGTTTTTAAGAACAGATTTTGATATTTGCTGAAGACAATGACTTTTGTTTCCTTCAAGACAACAAACAGTTTATTATTATTATTGTTATTATTATTATTATTATTATTATTATTATTATTATTATTATTATTGTTATTATTATTATTATTATTATTATTATTATTATTATTATTATTATTATTATTATTATTTATTATTATTATTATTATTATTATTATTATTATTATTATTATATTTTTTATTATTATTATTATTATTATTATTATTATTATTATTATTATTATTATTATTATTGTTTTTATTATTATTATTATTATTATTATTATTATTATTATTATTATTATTATTATTTTTTTTTTTTATTTATTTTATTATTATTATTATTATTATTTCTTTTATTATTATTATTATTATTATTATTATTATTATTTATTATTATTATTATTATTATTATTTTTATTATTATTATCATTATTATTATTACTATTATTATTATTATTATTATTATTATTATTATTATTATTATTATTATTTATATTATTATTTTGGTAACATTGCCGAGTGGTTGTACAGCTCTGCCTAAGGTCCTGTGTACTGTGTTTGTCAGTGTTCATACAAGACGTAAATACTGTTCAGTGTTCAATGTTCAAACAAGACATAAATACTGTTCTTTGTTCAATGTTCTTTGTTCAGTGTTCATCAGCGGAAAACAATTTATTAAATTATTGTTGGGAAGAAAATGAGGAAAATGATTGTATATTGAGAGAAAATAATGTTTGAAGTAAGGCAAACAGAGTATTGGGTTTTATATCTAGAAGTGTAAGTAATAAGAGTGCAGAGGTCTTATTGCAACTATATCTTGCGCTAGTCAGGCCGCACCTCGATTATGCGGTTCAGTTCTGGTGCCCTTATTATAGAATGGATATAAATTCACTAGAGTCGGTGCAGCGAAGAATGACGAAAATGATTCCGGGTCTTAGAAACCTTTCATATCAGGATAGGTTAAAGAAACTTAACTTGCATTCCCTAGAAAGACGAAGAGTGCGGGGAGATATGATAGAAGTATTTAAGTGGGTGAAAGGAATCAATAAAGGTGATATAGATAAAGTTCTTATAATATCCGAGCAGGATAGGACTCGTAGCAACGGATTTAAGTTGGATAAGTCTAGGTTTAGGAGGGAGATAAGAAGGAACTGGTTCACAAATAGGGTGGTGGACGAGTGGAACAAGCTTAGCAACTTTGTAGTAAGTGCTGGAACGCTGGAAAGTTTCAAAAGGAGGCTGGATCAAAAGGAGGCTGGATAGATTCATGGATGATAGAGAGTGGTAGTAACTCTCGACAGGAGCTGCCATGCACAGGCCAACCGGCCTATTGCAGACTCCTTATTTTCTTATGTTCTTATGATGTTGGTGATGGTGGTGATGGCGGTGATGGTAATGGTGGTGGTGATTGGTGATGGTGGTGGTGATGGTGGTGATGATAGTTGTGATGGTAATGGTGGTGATGATGGTGGTGATGGTGGTAATGGTGATGGTAATGGTGGTGATGATAGTGGTGATGTTGGTGATGATGGTGATGATGGTTGTGATGGTAAAAAGATGGTGGTGGTGATTGGTGGTGATGATGGTGGTGATGATGGTGGTGATTGGTGGTGATGATGGTGGTTGTAATGATGGTGGTGGTGGTGATGATGGTGGTGATGGTAATGGTGATGATGGTAATGGTGGTGATGGTGGTGATGGTAATGGTGGTGATGATGTTGGTGATGATGATGGTGGTGGTAATGATGGTAATGGTGGTGATGGTGATAATGGTGGTGATGGTAATGAAGGTAATGATGGTGGTGATGGTAATGGTGGTGGTGATGATGATGGTGGTGATGATGATGGTGATGAAGATGGTGGTGATGGTATGATGATGGAGATGGTGATGGTTGTGATTGTGGTGATGGTAATGGTGGTGGTGATGATGATGGTGGTGTTGATGAAGATGGTGGTGATGATGATGGTGATGATGAAGATGATGATGGTGGTGATGATGATGGTGGTGATGAAGATGGTGGTGATGATGATGGTGATGATGGTGGTGATGATGATGGTGGTGATGCAGATGGTGGTGATGATGATGATGATGGTGATGATGATGATGGTGGTGATGGTGGTGATGGTGATGGTGATGATGATGTTAAGATGGCAGGTGATGAAGATGGTGGTGATGGTTTGATGATGCAGATGGTGATGGTAGTGGTGATGATATGATGATGATGGTGATGACGATGATGGTGAGTGATGGTGGTGATGGTGGTGGTGGTGGTGGTGATGATGGTGATGATGATGAAGATGGTGGTGATGATGATGGTGGTGATGATGATGATGATGGGGGTGATGATGATGATGGTGGTGATGATAATGGTGGCGATGATGATGATGGTGATGATGATGATGATGATGATGGTGGTGAGGATGATGATGATGATGGTGGTGATGATAATGCAGATGGTGATGGTTGTGATTGTGGTGATAGTGGTGGTGATGATATGATGGTGATGATGATGATGATGGTGGTGGTGGTGATTAATGATGATGGTGGAGATGAAGATGGTGGTGATGGTATGATGATGGTGGTGGTGATGATATGATGAGGGTGGTATTGGTGGTAGTGATGATGATGGTGGTGATAATGGTGATGATGAGGATGATGATGATAGTGATAACTTTAACATGTTCGCTAATAGTAATAATAAAACAAATAATAATGTGAAAAAAATTAGAATTACAAATAAAAAAAATTACCCCCCAAAAATATATTAAACACATCATGATATCAAGTAATAACACCACCGAGAGAAAATTTACATACGTGTTTGTAAAGAGAAGCAGGTGATATCAAACAGGTGTACGTAGGTAATTACCACCATTTTCACCTTAGCCTTCAACCAGGTGAGTCCAGGTGAGCCCAGGTGAGCCCAGGTGTTATTATGGTGGTCTCCTTAACGTGTCACCTCACCTATGGGGCTTAAGGTGGTGGAGGGGTGTTGGAGGGAAGGGGGAAGGGGGAGGAGAGTGGGGGGATGGAGGAAGGGGAGGTGGGGGGAGGAGAGTGATGGAGGGAAGGGGGAGGTTGGGGGAGGAGAGTAGGGGGTGATGGAGGGAAGGGGAGGTTGGGGAGGAGAGGGGGGTGATGGAGGAAGGGGAGGTTGGGGAGGAGAGTGGGGGGATGGAGGGAAGGGGAGGTTGGGGAGGAGAGGGATGGAGGAAGGGGGGATGTTAGGTGGAGGACAGATGGAAGAGAGTAGAGGCTCGGGGAGATGAAAGGGAGAAAGTGAGTGGGACAGAATGAGGGAGGGGAAGGAGAGAGAAGAGGAGGGAGAGGAAAAAGATGGTTGGTGAGGAGGTTGTACAGGTGTTATCAGAGGACAGGTGACAGAACGAAGGAGGGGACACAGAATGACCTGGCTTAACTCCTCCTTCCTTCTTCCTTCCCCCCTTCCTCCTTATCTTTCTCCTCCTCCTCCTACTTCCTCCTCCTCTCTGAAATTCTTACCCCGCCCCTTCCTCCTTCATCGTACCCTACCACAGGCACTCTCGTCTTCTTAATTATAAAAAGTTATAATTCTCCTCCTCCTCCTCCTCCTCCTCTCCCAACTGGTTAAGGAGGAGCCAGGTGGTACATAGAACCCCCAGATGACTAAGTGGCCAGCTGAGATCAGACCATCACAAGGAACTCTCTCAAACAGCTGGTCTTGGTGAGGCGGGGGGGGGGGGTCGACCCGGGGTACTTGAGTTAAAAGAGGAATTAACGGTACCTCACAGCAACACGTTAGCGGGTAGAGGTGGTCGCTCCCTTCACTACCACAGGCAATCGATAACTGCCTGGCGATCCCCTTTGCCCAACCCTCATGTGGATGTGACGACAGGTGGGCATTCGTCTGCTCGCCTTTCGCCTGTAGTGGTGCTGGTGGTAGTAGTACTTTTATAATGCTAGAAATAGGACATCCACATTTCATTCTAGCATTTCATTAGGACATCCCTATACCCAATCTTACCAGGACACGGGATATGTATGGCTTTCTGGGTTTAGGAAATGTCCAAGAGGAGAGAGATCCTATTTTTGGACATCCCCTTCTTTCTGTGGACATGAGATTCTTACCCTATAGGAAATGAGACATCTAACTCTGACACATCATTCCCAGATCAAGGAAGCTGCCAAGGTTAGGACATTCAACCCTCCCACGTTTTCTATGACAAGGGGCCACTGACAAGGCCATTCGTGTTCCTTTAGGACATGGGACTCGCTCTTAAGACATGTGCCCATTGTCTAACTCCTTATAGAACACACTGTAGTAACACCCAATAAGAAATTTGGGACATTTCTTCTCACTAAGGTCATGAAGCCTCCCTACCCCCCACCCTCTTTAGGACACTGGACATCCCCAGGTGTTTTTAATGACTCAGGATACATAATTCTGCTAATTAGCTTCAGGTGATTATATTAATTACTTCACAGGTGAGGGGTGAGACGTTCTCTCTCTCTCTCTCTCTCTCATTGCCCATTATAACCCCTAAAGATTGCCCCCATTCCATTTCAAACAACCCCCCCCTCTTGACCCTCGTGAGTTTAGTGACCCCTAATGACCTCCTGCCATACCTAGGTACAAGGCACCGGTGGGTACGGATCTTGACCCTTATGGTACAGGTAGTTAAAGGTTATTATCTCTCACCTGTGGTTTGGAGATAATGGGAGATTATGGGAGATAGTGATGGTGGGAGATAGTGATGGTGGGAGATAGTGATGGTGGGAGATATTTACTCTTATTTAACTATTATTCTGGAAATAAAGAAATGAAAATTTTATAATCAAATAATTTTCTGTCAATTTTGTTATAGAAAGAAATATTATTGGAACTCCACCATAAATTGTGTCTATAATTTTCATTCTTATAAAAACTGAACAAAATGTAGGAATTTATTGTATAAATATTTTTTCTTCCCATAAAAAGGGTTAAAAAAAAACATTGGAACAGGTCGTGAAATAAATCTGTATTTTTACTTCTTATAAAAAACAGTAGATAATTATCAGAACAAAAGTTTAAATAAAAGTATACATTTTCTTTGTATTAAAAAGAAAATGTACAAAAAAAACAAAGGAACCAGTTGATAAATAAATCCTTGTATTTTTAATTCATATAAAAACGCAAAAAAAGTACTGGAACAAACCGTAAAATACAAGTATATAATTTTACTTCTTATAAAAACTTCGAACAGTATTGGAACGAGCTCAGGAATGCGCTGTGTGAGGTAAGAGACATTACGGGGATATACGGCCTCTCCTGTGCTGTTATGACCGCTGCAGACACGTATATTTATTGACCTACAGATTACAATTTACGGTTGGCCTCCCCTGACCCCAGCCAGACCCAGTGAGGTCATTCCGCCAACCCGGATACCTGCAGCAGCTTTCCCCGTGTGGCTAGGGACGGTACCACGTAAATAATGGACTTTTCTGTCTTTCCCCGTGAGCCTAGGGACGGTACCACGTAAATAATAACCTAGTGTAATATCTCTCCGCGTGAAATGTAGGACTTCTTCATATTCAACTGAAGGGTCTCTCTCTCTCTCTCTCTCTCTCTCTCTCTCTCTCTCTCTCTCTCTCTCTCTCTCTCTCTCTCAATGGTTCGTAGGTTCAATCTCCTCCTCCCTGTTTCTCGTATCCAGCGGTAGAGTCTCAGGACAGTTTCGCCGCCATATTTAGTTTCATCTTCACTATACAGGATAACAAGACCCTATTTTTATCACCTGTTAAGTTTTGGTTATTTTATTTTATCTGGTTTTTATCCTTATTTGACGATTAACACCGATTTTAATGTTACTTTCGATCCAGAGTTTTTATTTAGCTAACCTAACCTAACCTTACCTTACCTTACCTTACCTTACCTTACCTTACCTTACCTTACCTTACCTTACACCCAGCTCCCTCCTTGAACCACCAAAAACCTAACCTAACCTAACCTCACACCGAGCGCCCCCTTGAATCACCAAAGACCTAACCTAACCTAACCTAACCTAACCTCACACCGAGCGCCCCCTTGAATCACCAAAGACCTAAGCTAACCTTTCTCTCTCTCTTGTGACTCTGACAGATCTCACTCTACACCCACGAACTCCACCCCCTTCAGAACATCACGGGGTACCAGCTGGGGTCCTACTTCGGCTACTGCCTCGCCGTCGTGGACTTCAACAACGACGGCCTGGATGACATCGTAGTCGGCTCCCCTATGTACACTGACTATGATGACCGGGAGATGAAGTTCGAGGTGGGCCGCGTTCATGTCCTCCTTCAGAACAAAGTGGTAGGTCCTCTCCTCAATCAAAGTTGTTTTCTCAGTGGATTCGAGTTTTAGGTTTGTTTTTTAAGGAGTGTTTTAAGTTAAATTTGTGGGATTTCTTGGGGGGTGTTTTAGGTTAAATTTGTGTTTTTTTGTGTTTTAGGTTAAATTTGTGTTTGTTTTGGTGTTGTAAGTTGGATTTTTTTGTATTTTTTAAGTGTTGATGCATTAAAGGAAAATATTTTTAAGTGTTTGGGCCATTTTTAAGGTAATTTAAAAGGTAAGTTATAGAAATCAAAGTGTTTTAGGTCAAATCGTAGGTATATTAATTGTTACGGTCGGGTGTTTTTCATCAAAGTTTTAAGTTTTAACTACATCAAATTTAAGGCTTGAAGTGTTTCCTTGTAAAACCCAAACAGTGCGTGGTGTTTGGTGCTTTTAACTCGTGTGTTTTAACTCGTGTGTGTTTTGTTATTAGTAAACACACACACACACACTAAGACAACAATGCAATTTGAGTGATGTGACATTACAACACGACATAGCAAGTGACCCCGGCAGTGGTGTGAGCTGAGAACAAGACAAGAGTAATAGATGGTGAGGTCAAGAGGGAGTATTGCGGGGTGTGTGTTAAGTCAAAGTGTGTGTTAAGTGTGTGTTAAGTCAAAGTGTGTGTTAAGTGTGTGTTAAGTCAAAGTGTGTGTTAAGTGTGTGTTAAGTCAAAGTGTGTGTTAAGTCAATGTTTGTGATGTTTATGAGGGTAAATTACTAGTGGAAGTCTTATCGTAGGCAGGTGAGGCAGACCCGAGTTGTTCTTACAATGGTTGAAGACTGTTGTGTGTGTGTGGTATGTAAATAATACCTGTGTGTGTTTGGTATGTAAATAATACCTGTGTGTGTTTGGTATGTAAATAATACCTGTGTGTGTAATGGCAACATGCCCGCCTCGTAAGTGAGTGGACCCGGGTTCGATCCCCGGGCAGGTGAAACTATGGGCAAGTTTCTTAACGCCACTTGCCTCTGTCTACCTGACAGTAGTTGGGAACCTGGATGTTAATCTTGTTCCGGGGTAATGGTTAGCCAGTGCAGTTGGCGAGTTGTCCGGTCTTCTCGGACTATTCCTTGACACTGCGTCATGCAGCTCGTTAACTCAGGGTGTGGTTGTTGTGTTGGCGACAGCTTCTACACTTCTGCGTCATGCAGCTCGTTAACTTAGGGTGGGGTTGTTGTGTTGGCGACAGCTTCTACACCTTAAACACTGCGTCATGCAGCTCGTTAACGTTATTGGTTGTTGTGTTGGCGACAGCATCTATAAACACTGGGTCATGCAGCTCGTTAACTCAGGATGTGGTTGTTGTGTTGGCGACAGCATCTACACCTTAAACACTGGGTCATGCAGCTCGTTAACTCAGGGTGTGGTTGTTGTGTTGGCGACAGCTTCTACCTTAAACACTGGGTCATGCAGCTCGTTAACTCAGGGTGTGGTTGTTGTATTGGCGACAGTACATAAACACTGCGTCATGCAGCTCGTTAACTTAGGGTGTGGTTGTTGTGTTGGCGACAGCATCTCACCTTAAACACTGGGTCATGCAGCTCGTTAACTCAGGGGTGAGGTTGTTGTGTTGACAGCATCTCACCTTAAACACTGGGTCATGCAGCTCGTTAACTCAGGGTGTGGTTGTTGTATTGGCGACAGCTTCTACACCTTAAACACTGGGTCATGCAGCTCGTTAACTCAGGGTGTGGTTGTTGTATTGGCGACAGCTACCATAAACACTGCGTCATGCAGCTCGTTAACCAGGGTGTAGTTGTTGTGTTGGCGACAGCATCTCACCTTAAACACTGGGTCATGCAGCTCGTTAACTCAGGGTGTGGTTGTTGTGTTGGCGACAGCATCTACACCTAAACACTGGGTCATGCTGCTCGTTAACTCAGGATGTGTGGTTGTTGTGTTGCGACAGCTTCTACACCTAAACAAATTCACGCCTCGGTGGCCTTGGGCCGGCCATCCTCGTTACACGAGGTAACCATTATTAGATTTATATTATATACTTTCATGCGCATAAATTTACAGACAGAACCACGAACACTTAGGGTACATACACTATATGTCTTATTTATTATTTTTTTATGTATTAAATTATATATTTAGCACCTTAATAACGAATTATTATATTATTATTTATATACACACACACACACACACACAGGTTAGGTTAGTTTAGGTTAACGTGGGTTAGGTTAGGTTTCGTGTCTGGTGTGGTTAGGTGATTCCCTTCAACACTACAGGCAACAGCTGGCTTGTGAATGTTTCTTAGTAGTAACACTGTGTTGCATTGTGTGTGTGTCCCGCAGTCGTTGTGCCACATTCCCGCACGACCGCAGTCTTTTGCTGGGAGTCCACACGGCGTGAAGATTCCCAAAAGATTTATACAGTCTCAAAGGTTTAAGTTAATTATATAGTCTCGGTACCACCTGGAAGTCATCTTGACAAACATACAAACTTTAAACCTCAAATGAATTAAATAAAAACAAATTAACATAAGAACCTTTGAGAATCCACCTTAAATATACCGTAAGTTATGTCAGCCAATAAGATGCGTTTGTTTATCACGAGTTACGAGAAAATGTTAACTTACGATTTTCTTCACAATACAGTTTCCTCATCACTGGAAGATCTCGTAAGATTCTTAGCTCTTGGTCGTGAGATGAGGGAGGGAGGGAGAGAGAGAGAGAAAGAGGAGGAAGGGAGAAAGGGTAGGGAAGGGGAGGGGAGGAGAATGAAGTGAGGGAAGGAGGAAGAGAGAAGAGGTAGGGAAGGGGAGGAGAATGAAGGAGGAGGAAATGGGAAGGAAGGGAGGAAGGAAAAGAGAGGCAGGGAGGAAATGGAAAGGAGGGAGAAGGGGGAAATGAGGAGAAGAGAGAGGGAGGAAATGAGAAGGATGGAAGAAGGGAGGGAGACGAACAACCTAATTTGCATATCGCGTCTGTATGTATGTATGTATGTGTGTATGTATGTATGTATGTATGTATGTATGTATGTATGTATGTATGTATGTATGTATGTATGTATGTATGTATGTATGTACTCGACCATATAGTTTAAAAGCTGTGTAGGTGTATAGTGTATTAATTCAGGTGTATTATTGAGAGCTGTTTAAGAGAGGTATTCCTTCTATAGTGATTATTGTTGAGTATAGTGTATGGTGTATAGTGTATGGTGTGTATTGAGATTAATTATGTATCTGTATATTGGTGAGGCTGTTGAGAATATAGTTCTTCTTCTATCTGTCTGTCTGTCTGTCTGTTCGTCTGTTAGCCCACGACGGTAGCCCAAGTAAGAGGTCGTCAGGCATTTAAGGTTGACCTCCAAGACGACGCCTCCAGCTCCTCCTTCACTCACACTGCTTGTTGAGGTCACACACACACACACACACACACACACACACACACACACACACACACACACAAAGGCCAAAATTAGTGATGCTTAAAATTACATGAAGATAATGATGGCTTATTACATGAAAAATTTATATATAAACATAAAGATTTATATCATCCAAACTATTTATATAAACACATCACAAAACACCATTATTTACTGTAGTTATGTTGTATGTGTTTAATTCACCAATGACTGAGGATTACGTGTACAGTCATGCATCATACACTGTATACTGTGTGTGTGTGTGTGTGTGTGTGTGTGTGGGGGTTCACATAACTTGAGGGTGTTTGTGCTGATTTATGTTTACACGTGTTTGTGTTTGTTTACATGGACTGTTTTTTTTATTGTATGTTTTATACACTGTGTCCTGTTGTATTTACAGGGGGAGAGGGGTGAGAGGAAGGAGAGGTGAGAGGGGAAGGAGAGGTGAGAGGGAAGGAGAGGTGAGAGGGAAGAAGAGGTGAGAGGGGAGGAGAGGTGAGAGGGGAGGATAGGTGAGAGGGAAGGAGAGGTGGGGAGAGGGGAAGGAGAGGGGTGAGAGGGGAGGAGAGGTGGAGAGAGGGGAGGAGAGGTGAGAGGAAGGGAGAGGTGAGGGGAGGAGGAGGAGGGAAGGGGAGAGGGGAGGAGAGGTGAGAGGGGAGGATAGGTGAGAGGGAAGGAGAGGTGGAGAGGGAAGGAGAGGTGAGAGGGGAGGAGAGGTGAGAGGTGAGAGGGGGGGGAAGGAGAGGGAGAGGGGAGGAGAGGTGAGGGGGAAGGAGAGGTGAGAGGGGAAGGAGAGGTGAGAGGGGATGCGAGAGGGAAGATTGAGTTTGAGGAAGGTAGAAAGAGAGGGGGAAGGTGAGTGAGTGAGTGGGAAGGTTATACACTCCAGAGAAGAAGAGATAATGTAGGGTTGTGTTGTTGAGTGGGAGTGAGGGGGCGGGACTGAGGGGGTGAGAGGAACTGAGGTGAGGAGAGAGAGGGAGGGAGAGAGGGGTCGCTACCACAATTACAGGGTCGCTGTGCTCATAGGAATGTAGTCAGGGCTACCGGGTTTATTCTCCCTGTGGTGTATATTCTCCCTGTCTCCCTGTTGTGTATTCTCCCTGTCTCCCTGTTGTGTAATCTCCCTCTCTCTCTATGGTGTATAGTCTCCCTGTGTCTCCCTGCGATGTATTCTCTAAGTTTCTCCCTCTGATATTTATATGCTTCTCAATTATAAGAGCAATTAATAACAGTTATGTATGAGTGTTATGACATCTCTTTACCTGTTATCACCTGCAATCACCTGTTATCATTCGTTATCACCTGTAATGAGTTATCACCTGTTATCATCCATTATCACCTGTTATCATTCGTTATCACGTTATCACCTGTTATCATCCATTATCACCTGTTATCACCTGTTATCACCTACTATCATCCATTATCACCTGTTATCACCTGTTATCACCTGTTATCACCTGTTATCACCTGTTATCACCTACTATCATCCGTTATCACCTGTTATCACCTGTTATCACCTGTTATCACCTGTTATCACCCGTTATCACCTGTTATCACCTGTTATCACCTGTTATCACCCGTTATCACTTGT